GGCGTCCAGATTTCCAGCCCTGGGGGCAGCTGTAATTCCTGAAAGAACCGACAGTACTCTGGGGAGCGGCGAGCAGGTGGGAGGGTAAAGTACTGGCTAAATTTTGGCACAAGATTCTGTTCTCCACCGTCACACAGTGGCCCAATGAAAAGGCTAAGATGATCTCATTTTTCTAAGTCACAACTTTACTCATTGTTATCAGATTGAAAGAGAAGGAAGCTTTGAGTTTGTACTGGCACGGTCCTTCAACTTGGTTACAGATGGCCACGCGTTGGATGGCTGAGGACGTTGGCCTCCAGTGACCCTACGCTGGCCATACTCGCACACTCCATTTGCCCTTTGAGACACAATGCTGAGCCGAAACAACGTTCTGGCCCTTTTTGTGATAAACCAAGAGAAGGCTTTGGAAACAAACCGTTCCAGGATCAGGCCCATTTCAGGCATTCTAGGACCCCTTGGACTGCAGGGGACAGAAGCCCAAGTCAAGACAGCTTAAGGAGAATTTATTCTAAGGACATAGGATGTTCTCGAGACACACGGAATCAGGAACACAGCTGAAGTCCCAGCACACAGAGAACCGTGGACGTGAAGGCTTGGGGACTCGCCTTTTCTTGCCCCCCAACCTTCTCCAGTGCCGGATTCAGGCTCCACCATCTCCCTCTGCAGGTTAGGTTCCTCTGCTTCTCTGGTCCCCGGGGCAAGAAATGTGCTCCTGACAGATTCCCACCTTTATGATTTCCAGACACCAGCTCCTCTCGGTTTCCATTTCAAATTTACAAAGAAAGACCGATGGCAAAGCTTGTGTGGAACAGGCCCTGGAGCAGTCAGCTTGCTTGGGCCTCAGCTAACAGGCTTCCACTCCTGGAAGCAGATGGATGGTGTGTGGGGGGTTGGCAATTTCCAGAAGAAGGGAAGTGTGGGGCAAATAAAACAATAGGGGTCTCCCTGGTGAGACCATTCTTAACTTCTCTAGGCCTATTTTCCTCACTTGGAACATGGAGACTCACTAACTACCTTGGACATTATTATTGTGAAGATTAAAGGGGATCAAAAGACATCGTGATACCCAGACTTCCCAGCAAGAGCTTCCGAAGACAGAAGAGGGGAGGCCAGGTCTGAGGAATCTCGCGGTGAAGCTCCAAACGCGACATTCTCTGAGGTCTTCTTTTCAGCTGAAAAACATATGAGCTATGGGAATTTAGCATATGATAAAATTGACATCTCAAATCAGTAAAGAAAAGATAAATTACTCAGTCAACGATGTTGAGACAGCTGGGTTGCCAGTTGGGAAAAAAAAAGTAGATCCTTCACAGTTTACATCAAATAAATTCCCAACGGAAGAAAGATTAACATGGAAAAAATGCAACCACAAAAGTACTTAGGAGAAGCCCCAGGGACCTGAGTGGAGCTCAGGACACCTCCCCAGGCCATGTTCTGTTTGGGCTGTGACTTGGCACCTAGAGCAGAGCTTCCACAGAGTCAGAGCTTCCTAAGATCGTGGTGGAATGAATTAATGAGAGAACGTTTTTTAATCACCTCAGCTAGGGGAGAAGCCTTTCTAAGTATGGCGTGAAACTCAGCAGCTTTAAAAGCAAAGGTAAATCCAGCTACAAAAAAAAATTACAAATGACTATATGAGGAGGAAGCAAACTAAATCAAAAGACAAGCATACTGGAGGGGAAGACCAATTCAAATCACAAAAGGTACCTTTCCTTAAGATTTCAAGAAAGCCTAAATATGAAGGAAACAACTCAACAATCCAATAGAAAAAGGGGCAAATGATAGGAAGAAAGAGTTCCAAGAATAAGAAAAACAAATGGATCTTGAACATTAAAAAAAAGATACTCAACCTCCTTCACAATTTAAGAAAAGCAAATAAAAACTCTAACGAGATACAAGTTTTCAGCTGTCAGATTGGCCAAGGTCAGAAAGTTTGAGAACACAGTATTGTCTATCGTGTATTGGCCAAGGGGTGGGGAAAGAGACACTCTGATAGAGTATGGGATGGAGGGCTCTCCAGAGTGTGGCTGGACCACCCAGTGCACCCTCTGACCCGCTTCTCGGGTCCTACAGATGTGCTAGCGCATGTACCAATGAAGAATATTCAGGGTTATATTTATTGTAGTGTTGTTTGTAGTAGGAAAATATTAGCAATAACTATCATAGGGCTGGTTAACAAATTCTGGTACATCCATACCACGAAATATTGTGCAGCAGCTAAGGGAATGAAATAACTCTGTATGAACAGGCTATGAAAAGGTCTCCAAGATGTAGTGTTATCTGAAAAAAGCAAGCTGCGGAGTAGTGCGTATTTAGTGTTATCATTTGTATTTTTTTAAAAACAACCTGCATACATAGGTGTTTGTATCATGTATAGATTCTCTCTCAGAGGATTCCCAAGAACAGTGGCTGCCTCCCGGGAGTTGAGCCAGGAGCTGGAGAACAGAGGGGTAAATTTTCATTCTAAACTCTTCTCTACCTTTCGAATTTTGTTTCATGAACATGTATTCAAATAATAAATTAAGAAAAAAAAAATGTGTGTTAATTTAGCATTCTGCTCCATAATATATCCACAATTGATCTAATGTAGAAATAATGTTTTAAATTACTTACCTTACACTAATTAACTTTCCCTTCCAAATCCTTGAGTGAAATTAACATTCTAGAAAGACACGACACGTTTATCCTGGGACTCTGTCTCCTGGGCACACCAGCAAGTGTCCTCGTTCTGGAGAGAACAGAACTTTGCGGGAACTTTGTTTGGCACAGGCAGCGCTGCCCTGCAAATGTGAGTTCCGGGCTCTGTGGGAACGGGGCTGTTCCTGGAGAGGAGCTGGGGGAACCTCTGCCCCACCGGCCAGGACAGGAAGCTGGTGAGCGTCTCCCGCCCGGAGCAGGGCCTTGGGAGACATTGTCCCGTAAAAGCCACGGTTATAGAGAGTCCACATTCTCTAGCCTAGCCCAGTGCCTGGCACAGAGTAGGCACTCAAAAAAATGTTTCTGGAATGAATGAACATACCAAGAGTTACAGGATCTCTCAGGAGGGAGTGACAAATGCTGTTCAGAAGCTTTGGGTGAAGTCCCATAAATAGGTAACATTTAACCTGGGGCTTAAAGCCAGAATCCCTCACCTGGAGGACAAAGGCATTCCAGGCAGAGAGAACAGCCTCTCCTTGGGGCACGAGAGGGGTGAGGAGCGGGGAGGCATCAGTGCTCAGTCACAGAGCTCCCACCCGCCCCTCTTGGAGCAGGAGTCAGAGGTGGTCAGTTGCCTGGGGGCAGGGTGTGTGATGGTGGTTACCTGACAGAATTCAAAGTTGTTTTTTTTTAATTTTGTCAGCAAAACCTGCCCTGAGCTGATCTGAAGCTTTATTCATTCCACTCTATGTGTCTAGCTATGTGTTCTGCTGTAGAAATATTAGTATGCTTGATTATAGGAAGCTGTTCCAGACCCCGCTGAAGGATTGTATAATATATCGTATGTGCACCGTGCTACTTTTCTAAAATCTGGAAAATTCTGAATTCTGAAACACATCTGGTAGCAAGAGTTTTGGATGAGGAATTGTCACCTAATACAATTGATCAACACACACAATGTTTAAAAATAAAAGCAATATAATGCCCTGAGTGTAAAATAAAGAATAAAAACCCCCCAAAATTTATAATAATATAATATATATTTTGATACATAAATACTGGGGCGGGACTACCCGAGAAGAGCCCGGAAATGAGTTGGATGCTTGCCCTCAACATAGATTCTCCTGACTGTGGCAATTCAAAGGCAGCTGATAAAGTTGTGTATACTTTTTTGCAACTCAAACACTAGGAGTAACATTGCTGTGATTTTCCAAAATGGTCAACAACCCTACGTAAAGATTCAAATATAAGAAAGCACAGATTCTCTCAGTTTACTCAATAGTTGCGTTCCTGGAAATCTGGTGCATAGAAAAACCATGCAAAATTACTTTGTGTTCATTTGTAAAACATAATTAGGCTTTAGGCTCAGATAATTATAATGAGGTTTTTTGCTTAATGAGACATTTGGAAGTGATGCAGGATGCAGGACAATTCTTTGTTGTAGGCAACTGCCTCACACACGGCAGGGCGCCTCGCATCCCTGGCCCCGCATGTTAAATGTCATAACCAGACCATTATGACAACCAGAAGTACCTCTCACATTTCCACAAAGCCCCTGTGGTGCTGCCCCAGGAGGGGAGCACTGCTCACCCAGCCCAGCTGGGACCCAGCGCATGGAAGAAGCCAGCAGGGACTGGCGGATGATCCATGGAGTCCCAGGGCAGACTCTAGCTCAGCTGGGGAATCCTGCAGTCAAGTCTGGACTGAGCAGTTTGCATTTAAAAGACCTTGTTTTCCCCAGAACCTAAGGCTCAGGGAAACAGACTGGATTGAACACCTAGGTTTCTCACCAGCTGTGCCAGCGTGGAGATGTGGAGCTCCGGTTGGCCACCCTGCAGGAGGTTTTGGCCTCAGGTATCTCTCTGCGAGAGCAAGGTGGCGCCTTCTTTAATGGGCTGATCCGCTGAAGTTGGGCACGTCAGGCAGCCTGCGGGCTGTGTGCCCTCCTTGAAGAGTAACTCCTCCAAGTCTCAGTGTATCTTAGTGGTTAGGAGTTACACATGACGGCATTATTCACAACAGCCAAAAGGTATTTGGCAACCCAAGTGTCATCCATGGGTGGATGGACAAGCAAAATGTGGTGTGTACGTACAGTGGAATATTATCAGCCTTGGAAAGGAAAATTCTGACACATGCTACAGTGTGGATGAGCCTTGAGGACATTATGCTAAGTGAAATAAGCCGATCACAAAAGGACAAATACTGTATGATTCCACTACCTAGAGGAGCCAAATTCGGAGAGACAGAAAGTGGGATGGTGGTGGCCAGGGGCTGGTGGCGGCAGGGAATGGGGAATTGTTTAACAGGGACAGAGTTTCAGCTTTGCAAGATGATAAAAGTTCTAGAGATGGTGATGATAATTGCACAACAATGTGAATGTACTTAATGCCACCGAACTGTGCGCTTTAAAATGGTTAAGATGGTAAACTTTATGCTATGTGTGTTTTACCACAAATAAAATTTAGAAAATAAAAAAAACCCTAAGGCTCTGATGGAAACACTAGGAATCAAATTCTGACTCTGCCATTTACCAGAATGTGGGGGATCCTGGCCAAGTTAACCTCCCTAAGTCTCCGTGTCCCCATCTGTGGAACGAGGATAAGATTGTACTCTCCTCTTGGGGGCATTACAGGGTTCACTGGAGATTGTGAGTGTAAACTGTGGGCACAGCGCCTGCCAGGCACGTTGTCAGTACTCAGGAAGCGTGGTTATTGTCTTGCCTGCAGGTTTCACATATGCTCGGCTCAGGGAAGCAGACATTCCCATGGACACACTTAGGGCATTTGGCTTAACAGCAAGGTTAGAAGGACACTGACAAAGAAGAATGACGGGGGACCCCGGGTGGTGACCCTGCCTGGGTCTTCCTGCTTGTGAGTCAGCATCCTCCCCACCGACAGCCAACAGTCCTCAGGGTCCTCCCAGCAACTTTGCTGTATCTAGAGAAAGCTCTTCTTCTTTTCCTTTTGTGAGGAAGACTGTCTCTAACTAATACAGCTAACATCTGTGCCAATCTTCCTCCACTTCGTATGTGGGACGCCACCAGAGCGTGGCTTGATGAGTGGTGTGTAGGACCACGCTGGGGATCAGAACCCGTGAACTCCAGGCAGAAGTGGAGACTGAGAACTTAACCACGACACCACTGTGCCACCCAGAGAACGCTCGTCTTAACCGACTCCCAGAGGGACTCTTCTCCTTAAACGTAAAACTGCCGCTATTCCCATTTAGACTCCTTGGGAGAGTTGATAATTGTTGTTGACAGCAATAAGAGTTCATTTTCCTTTGTTTTGATTAAACAATGATTTGAATGGAAAGTGCTTCCTGGAGCAGTAATTAATGACTGGCTGGAGGTGAAGCCAAAGGCACTTAACCCAGCTAGTAAATAGCTACCAGGAAACGTTAGACCTGGAGGGTAAAGTCACTGCCGGTACAAACTTGGAAACTGGTAGGAAGAAAAGGAGAAAAAAAAAAACCTAAGCAATTTCTTTTTTATGCAATGAAAAGTTTAAAAATGGAGCGCTGTGTTGCCATAGCCACCATTCCTGGCTCTGGGGGGCTCCAGGCTCTCCTCCACGCTGCCTCAGCCGCATGGCAATTAGACACGGTTTCCAGCAGGCCAGCTGTGCCTCCCAAGTACCTATAATGAATATTTGCAGCTCCAGGCTCCCGCGGAAATCCTCAAGCCTTCACTTGTCACCGTCATTTCCTTGGGAAGTGTTTCTAATTACACAGTGCTTGCTGCCTGCTCCAGGTCGAGTCTTCTGGTATACAACATACGAATTACATAAAACCGCAAAACAGTCAGGGGACCCTGGCTGGGTCCAAATTGCTATGTAGTTGTTTTTAACTTCGCAGTTAAGCCATACTGGGTGTAACAGGGCGTCATTTGCATGAGCGAAAACAACAGTAAAGGAACAGCACGTGCCTCAGTCTTTATAACTCTCTGTAGAGGTCAGAGCCCGCTTCAGCAAGACAGCCATATAATAATAGAATTTCCAGCTCTAACACACGGACTGTTTATTTTAACTGTTATAGCAGGGGTTTTGTGATGAGAGACTTCATTTTGTATTGTCACCTGGGACCTGCCATTTAGGGAACTTCTGGCTGTTTAGTTTCCTGGAGGTGGAAACATCACTACCTTTGCACTCTCTTAGTTTAGGTAACTCTCCAAGATGTAAGGCAACGCTCACCAACTATTCTTAGAGAAAATGAAGTCAAGTTAAATCTAAATCCAGATGCTGCTGTTTGGATGTTAAGTTTTCTTTGGAGTTGAGTAAACTGGGGGAGTCTTCAGCTCTTGAAGAAGAGGCAAAAATAATTTTCTGTAAGGATGGGTTTCTCTGTACTGGGGAACCCCCGCCCCACAGGAGGCGTCTGTGTCCATCAGCCTGCTCACCCGCCTGGTGTTATGGAAGATCCAGCACCCGCGGGACCGAGAGGTGATGCCTATCTGATCATCTTGTGGGGCGAGAGGAGCTGTGCTCAGTTGAGCCCCGAGGCAGCGCCCACTGGGGAGGGACGGTTCTGGCTCCTGCTTGCAGTGAAGCTGATGCAAGAACCTGTCCTGCCCCCATTCCCTAAGGAATTTCAGCAGGAAGGTGCAGCCGCAGCAAGAAATGCCATTTGCTCCAGGCTTCCTTCTGCCCACTGGCTCCTCCTCCGCATCTCTAAGCCCTGAGTGCCCAGGGCTCAGTCGGGACCTCTTCTCTCTGTCTACGCTTGGTTCGTAAGTAATCTCATTCAGTTACGAGGCCCTAAATAAACACCATCTGTAGCAGATTGTATTTTCCAGAGTTAGCCACAACAATGTCTCCATCCTACATGTTCTTCTACAGTGTGATCTTCACACTCCTTCCATCAAGAGAATGGGTGTATGTCCGTCACCCTCCCTACCCCGCCTTGAATCTATGCGGCTGTGACTCTCTTGTAGCTCATGGAGTGAGGTGGATATGATGCTGCATGACTCCCAAGGCTAAGTTAGGAAAGATGGCGCAGCTTCTGCCTTGTTCACTGATAAATGCTCACCTTTGGAGCCCTAAGCTGCCATGTAAGTAGTCCAACTATCCCAAGGCTGCCATGCTGTAAGGAAGCCCACGTCACGTGAGACCCACCATAAAGTATTCCAGTTGACAGTCTCTGCTGAGGTTCCAGTGAATAGCCAGCCTCAACTGCCAGATGTGTGAGTAAAGATGCTTCCAGATGACTCAGCCCCAGCTATCATGTTGCCTCCAGTCCTCAAGTCTTCTAAGCTGAGCCCCCAGAAATTGTGGAGTAGAGACGAAACATTCCTCCTGTGCCCTGCCTGAATGTTTAACCTACAGCCTGGTTGGCAAATGAGAGAGCTGTTTTAAGCTATATTTTCGCATCATTTCTTATACAGCAGTAGTATCTGGAACACCACTTCTGTGCCAATGACTCCTAAGTTTATATCTCCAGCTTAGGCCTCTCTTTGAGCTCTAGACTCACATATCCCACTGTTTATTTAGTGTTTCCACTTGGATGTCCAACAGGCTTCGCAAAGAACACAACCCAGATCAAACTATTGATCTTCCCTACCCTGCCAAGCTGCTCTTCCCTCGTGTCCTCATTTCAATAAATGACGCCGTCACTTACCCAATACACAGTTGCCTAGGCTAAAAATCTAGATATCCTCAGTGACTCCTGTCTTTCCCTCCCAAATCCATCAGCAAATCCCATCAGGTCTACCTTCAAAACATTTCCCAAATAGGACTACTTCTCACCTGCTCCAGTGGTATAACCCAACCCAAACCACAGCATCTCTCTCCTGGATCACTGCTACAGCCTCCTGTCTGGTCTGCCTGCTCCTACACCTGGTCTGTAGCCTCCCTCCCCAGCCAAGTCACCAGAAGCCATAATAATCATCTTAAGATGTAACTCGCATCACGACCCTCAGCTCTTCCTTGTTCACTCCTCTGGCTGTTGGCTGGGAACACACATCTGGCCTGGACTTTCTCACAATGTGGTGGCTGGTTCATACATACAGCATGTATCCTGGGAGAGAGAAAGAGCCAGGAGTGCCTCTCAGGCCTTAGCTGTGGATGTCCTGCAGCAGCACTTCTGCCACGTTCTGTTGGCTGAGGCCATTACAGAGGTCTCCCAGGTTCAAGGGCAGGGAACACAGACTCCATCTCTCAATGAACCCTGTTAAGGTCACATTCTGAGAAGAGCATAGAAGATGGGATATATACTGGTGCAGCCATCTTTGGAAAATACAATCTGCCATACCATCCAAGAAGATTTTACTACAGAAGAAAGTTGAGGGGCCGGCCCATGGCCGAGTGGTTAAGTTCACACACTCTGCTTCAGTGGCCCAGGGTTTCACGGGTTCAGATCCTGGGCGCAGAGATGGCACTCTCAGCAAGCCATGCTGTGGTGGTGTCCTACATAGCAGAGCCAGAAGGACCTACAACTGGAACATACAGCTATGTACTGGGGGGCTTTGGGGAGAAGAAGAAAAAAAAAAAGAAAGAATATAGTCTGAGCAACAAAAAATACCACAAGCAAAATGTAAATGCAAAAGACAGTATAAAGAAATGCTAACTCTTCCCTGAGCCCCTCACTCAGCCCTTCCTCTGGGCACTGTGGGTTAATTATAAGCATATACGCTGGTACTAGCACTACAGGAGAAAGTGGGTTGACTGTGCTTGCTTCCTCTTTTCTGTTTTTTTAAAGATTTTATTTTTTTCCTTTTTCTCCCCAAAGCCCCCCGGTACATAGCTGTATATTCTTCGTTGTGGGTCCTTCTAGTTGTGGCATGTGGGACGCCGCCTCAGCATGGTTTGATGAGCAGTGCCATGTCCGCGCCCGGGATTCGAACCAACGAAACACTGGGCCACCTGCACTGGAGTGTGCGAACTTAACCACTAGGCCACGGGGCCAACCCCGTGCTTCCTCTTTCCTTTGAGGGCAGGAAGAAGAGAATGCTCTCGCCTTCGTCTGGACCTGTAAGCCTTGCTTCAGAGGCTACCTTCTCACAGACCCTCCCAGATCCCCACTGCATGGGCACTGAGAGTTTGCACCTGTCTCATAAGGTACTTATCCTTTCTCCCTTGTGTTACAGTTATTCAATTATCTCTTTTAAATCTTCCCTCTCTCTAATCCCTCAGTGGTATATTCAACTATAAATTTCTCAACGGGAAGGGACTTTTTTGATTTGTCACTGTTCCCTTCCCACCCTGGTCTCTGCACTGTTCACAGGTGTTAATTATTCAATGCATGCTGGTGGAATTCATGAAGAAGCAGTTGGGTATCGGTGTCTGTCCCATCTGTATTTAAAAATCCTGGAATATAGTAGATGCTCAATTAAAACATGTTTTTAGTGAACGGATTGCTATCTACTAAATACAGGACACTTGGGGGAGGGAAGCACGAGAGTGGATCCCGCCTTCAGTCACTCTTTCCACCCTGCATGACAAAAGAAGAGCTGTCACCAGGCAGGACGTGATTGTGACTTATTGACAAAAGTCTGTGGGACTCAGAGAAAGCTTTTCTAAGCCTACACAGCCAAAGTCAGAAAATGTAAGGGAGGAGATTGTTTCTACCGCATAAAAATGAAACATTCTGTACTTCAAAAAAATCATAAATACAGTTAAGGCAAATGGCAAACGAGGAAAAAGTTGCCAATAGATTAGCAAAGGGTTACTATCCTTAATATTTGAAGAGGTGGTCTCTATCAGTAAGAAAAAGACAAATATTACAAAACATTAGGGAAAGGATATAAATAGTGAAAACAAAAAGAAAAATATAAGTAGTTAATAGATGAAAAAAACCCTTCAGCCTCATTAACAATCATAGAAATTCATGGTAAAATCATATTGAAATAACATTTTTCTTTTACCAAATTGGCAAAATATTTTTGTTAAGATAACGTGCAATGTTGGCAAGACTGGGAAGACCGAAAATTGATGTTTAAAGTTGCATGTCAAAACCTTTAAAATGGGCATGCTTTGTGAACCAGCATTTCAACATCCCCAAATTTATGCCAAAGAATTTATTGCTGAGGTTTGCCAAGATCTGTACACAAAGACGCCTAATGAAGTATTGATTTTAACAGCAGAATATTGAGATTAATGTTCAGCAATTGGGATTAATTTAAATTGGTTAAACAAATCATAGCACCACCCTGTAATGCGATATTATATGGCCATTTCAAATGCTGATACACAATAATATTTATGTTATATAGTGAATTTAAAAAGTCAATTTATCAAGCAAATGTACAGTCATTTTATTATTCATCACATATTTTTTATGTATATGTATTTATATTCCATAAATACAAACATGCATAGATGAAACCTAGAAAGATTTTCACCCAAAATTTTGGGATTCTGTGATTTTATTTTTCCTATCTCTCTTTTGTATTTTTTTTTTTTTAATTTTTTTTTTTTTCCTTTTTCTCCCCAAAGCCCCCCGGTACATAGTTGTGCATTCTTCGTTGTGGGTTCCTCTAGTTGTGGCATGTGGGACGCTGCCTCAGCGTGGTCTGACGAGCAGTGCCATGTCCGCGCCCAGGATTCGAACCGACGAAACACTGGGCCGCCTGCAGCGGAGCGCGCGAACTTAACCACTCGGCCACGGGGCCAGCCCCCTCTCTTTTGTATTTTTAAACTTTCTATGCTAACATTCTTTTCCTTGAGGAAAGAAATACCATTATTTCTTTTAAGTGGTATGGAAGTTGCCCCTGGAATAGAGAGAGGAATGCCAATTCTGGCTGTTTCTCTGGAAACATCTCCAGGCCCCTGGGCACACGTTTACCACAGCCCGTTCTCTCCTGAGAGTGGAGTGGGGTGGGAGGACTTCCGGTGAAGGTTTGTACTTATGGCTGGTCCTTCAGTCAATTTGTAAGACTGTGGGAAGAGGTGCTTCGAGTTCCCTGGAGCTGGTGAACGTACATCAGGAACGTACATTCCTGTCATTCTGTCTACATCATGCGGGAAGACCTGTGAGAGGAGGCCTTTGTTAATCTAGACATCACCCCAGCCCCACCGGGAGCATTCAGTTCTGTCCAAGCGATTTGGCTTGTTTCCTCCTGACAGAAATAGAGGGATGATACAATCAGCTCTGCGCACGGCACATGGGAGTGGAGGTTAAGTGAATTACAACATTCTGCCCCAAAGTGAAAATGAGACGGGTGTGAGAAGTTGGATTGTAAGAGGGAAACCAAATTTACTTATTTTCTCCTTTATTTAGCTCTCAGTTTTGTGAGGATACCAAAAATCGCACAAAGAAATCTGATGTGAATCATCTCTAAAACTAAAACATAACATAAACCAATGGTTCAGACTTCCTCCTCTATTTCCAAACGCAATTCCTATATAAAACCACCCATTTCACCTTGGGGACCACTGAAACAAGTGAATATTATAGGACAAAAAAGGGGAAGAAGTCTTAAAACTATGTGTGTTCAGATGTTTGCATCAACTATTAAAATCTGTCAGTTCACAATGCAGAATTCCTCCTGCCCATAGGTTTAATCAAAATCATTTCCTTTGACCCCAAGGTATTTTTTTCCCGTTTTATTATTGCTAGTGGTAGTGTCAAAAGCTTAGGAAATGTCTTAGAATGCACAAGTGGTTTAGCTGGCTTTTTATAAATTTCATTTGGATTCAGGAAGTTTGAATGACATAAACAAACTCTGTAAAGATGCTTCTGGAAAGTTTATGGCTCCTCTCAGAGGTTCCCTGAGAGTGCTCAGCTCCACCACACCTCATGGGACCCATGACCCAGGACAATGAAGTCAAAGGCTGTAATTGTCTCTCAACCTTATTCAGGCTTGAAACCTGGAAGCACCACAGAAAACAACAAGTTCAGTGACACATCTCATTGGCGTCTTCCCTGTGCCAGCAGCCACACCTGCTGAGGGCCAGGGCTGTAGCGGCGTGTTCTAGTCCTTGACCTGCTGGAGTTTGTAGCTGGGGTGAGAATGGAGCCAAAGAGGGGACATTATTTAATAGGCTTCTGGGTGTTTCTGTTTATTTTACTCTTGGACAAACTGATGAAGGAAATGGTTTTCAACAACCTATTTGATAAAACTATTCGCTTGTTTAACTGAATTATCTCTAAAAATGCTGAAGGACAATTTAATAATCACGCAAAGTCCCCCAATTCTCACTAAATGTGTTCACACGTCCTCCAGCTGTCCCATGAATCTCTCTCTTTCGTTCCTCCACATTTCCCCAGATTTCCCCCCAGCTCAGCCGACTCTGGCTCTCCTCTCTGTCTCCTTTTTCTCATCCTTTTCCAACGGATTTTTCCTTCATCCTCTAGCAACTCGCCGCTCTTTCCCATAAGTCAAATTGGCCTACCTTGGCCCTCCTCATTTTCTCCCTTACCCTAGCCCCACACAAAAAGGCGCAGAATCTACCAGGAAAGGCAGAATTCTCCTTATTGGATGTGATAACTCCAAGTTTTAGATACAGTTAACTCACGGGACAGATGAGAGACCCGAACTTGGAGAGAGTGAGTAACTTACCCAAGGCCACACAGCCAGCAAGTAGCAGAAGTAGTCTTCAAAATTCCTCATTCCAAATTTGGGCTGTTTCCAAAATACAACGGGAGGCCCCCAGGGAGGGCTCTGGGTAGATGAGGAACAGAATTAAGTCATATTTAATGACAGCCACATCCTCTCAGATTCGTGGGGTGGCAGGTCTTCTTCCACGCCCAGGACAGGAAATGGCCCTTCTCCCAGGAAACTTCCTGTGGTGCGTGTCTCAGGAGGCACATTGTGGAAAAAAGCATTCTTGTTCTCAGAGGCCTGCATCTGTGCAGCATGGGGGCCATTCACACTGTGTTCCTGAGAATGGCGCCCCCTGCAGTTGCCTGAGGCCTCAGCCCGGGCTGCACACTTCCTTTATTTCTAATAGTGTTTTTTTGGAGGTCTTGAAGGAAAGAACTGTGACATCTACCCTTGGAATGTTTCCCAGCCCTGCTGACATTCAAAGCCCACATCTGTTCCGGGGTCTTAAGTTTCTGATTCCTCCCGCCAGTTCTCACTGACACTTCAGGCAGGGACCAATAACCCAAGCTTAAAATTCAGGTCGTGCTATAAACCTACAAGAGTCAATTCCTCTGGTGGCTGGAAGTGTTTCAAAGGCTCTGAGAAAAGGGTATCCCAAAATGTATGTGTAAATATATGATCGTATTCTCTCAAAGTCACTGTTATATAAAATTCAAAAACAACCGCTTTTAGGTGAGAGTTTATGAGGCATTTTGGTGAGTATGGGGGTCAGGGAGGGGATGAGCAGGAAGGGAGGGGACTTCAGGGTTTCTGAGGGGGTAGGGGCATCTTCTTCCCATTCCTCCCTTTTAGGTGGGTCTCCCTGATTTTGCTGGGCTCATCAGAGTCAGAACTCCACTTTCCCATGGCCGAAGGCCCCTGGCAGTTTCCTATCTAAACCCCCTGGGGAGCTGGGGACCAACGCAAAGACAAACCTTAGTGAGAAAAGCAGTCTTGATCTGTGGACCAACGCAGCTTTAAATGAGTGAAACTCCGTGTGCTTGGGGTTGGAATGAGCTTGAATTGCCTCACTCATTTTTAGTGCCCATCTTTGATCTGATTTTAGCATAGTGACCGAGCAACAGCCGATTGGTTCACAAAAGCCAGAATGGAAGGTAAGCTGAAAGAGGCTTCTGGAAAGCAATGCTACCTAAAACGTGGTGCTGTGAAGGCTATAATCTACCAGCAAGCTTCCAGATGGAATTAGGGGTATTGAAGCAAAAAAAGAAGGCAGTTATGGGTTTTATTCTCCTCTGTACTCAATCAATGAAAGTGACAACCTTGTGTGATGACAATAAGAAGCGTGTGTCTTTAGTCTTTGTCACTGATTCCTGACACAGAGCTCCTAAATCTCTGGAATTTCCTGAATGATAGGAGCCTCTTTTGTTCTAATTAGGTTTCTCATGGCTGGCCCCTAGGTGGCTTCAGGATCGGGGCTAATCTCCAAAAAGATCAAGCCATCAAGAGAGGGTTGGCCCTCTGGAAAGGGGGAGGGGCTTGAGCTTAAGTTCAACCACCAATGGCCAATGACTT